ATTATTATTTTTCTAACTATACATGAATTTGGCCATTTGTTTCGATAATTTCCAAAATAAAAAAAAAGAATAATAAAATAAAATAATGAGTATCTCCTAACGTCGTAAAGGATTGGAGGAGCTCGCTAGAGCCATAGGGCATTGTTTGAATAATGTTGGACATGGACCCACCATACACGCTTGTATACATAGGTTTGGTTCGTTGGGTTAGTGCGCTCTCACGTTGCCAGACACCACAGAGAGAAAGGATCGACTTGATATCATGGTCAAACAAATATTATAAAGTACACGTCTATACTAATTGTAACGGAAAAGTATCTCAATGTACATGACACACATAAATGCATGAGGTCTCCATAGATTGAAATCATGACATATGCTTTAAGATACAAATTGTAACTCCTTTCATTCCTGACATACGTAGCATGACATAAAATAATGTAGCATAGCTTGACATACAATCATAAAATATGACACGTGCAAGGCCACAATGCACACATCATTCAAACAACAATCTAATCACCCAATCAAGCTAATATTAAGGTCACTTATCTAGGTAGCTTAAGTCAAAGTCGCTAATTCATCTTTGTAGCTTGGTTGAACTTGTCTCTTGACATCCAAGTTCACCTATGTGAGTACACGACATTGAGTTAGAGCATGTTGAGTAGCTTCTTTTAGAGCAAATTGGAGAGTTGAGGGGATAAATTTTGGGGGCAGTGGATTGATGATTTTTTTCCTAACTGTTACATTATATACCCGTAAAATTGAACTTTTGTGCTCAAAAGTGTCTCAATCTTGAAACAATTCGAAATATTTTCCTCTCATCTCTTCCCATTCACCTTTCGAGCTAAGATCCTTATTGGTTTGGCTTCATAGCAAAAGTCCTTGTCTTTCTGCTGAGGCTCGTAATCTATCACATATGTTGGATTGCTTAGGTATATTGCTTAGGTAGTTGCAGAGCATAGACACGTGTTATACGTTGTTCATTGCTAAGATGGATGGTGGTAGGGCCAACCTGTATGCCATGGTCTGATCACATTAAGGATGTCGAAGGGTCCAATGAAGCTGGGATTCATCATGCCATTCTGTCTGAACCTCAGGATGCCTTTCATTGGAGCCACCTTCAAGAACACCTTGCCGTCTACCTCAAATTTCAAGTTTCTACGTCTCACATCGGCATCTACTCTAAGTTGTGTGTATCCTTATCTTGATCTTTTACATGACCTCATTGGCAGTTTGGATTAAATCTGGTCCCAGTAATTCTCATTTACCAACTTGTTCCAACACACGAGGGGCTTGCACTGTTTCCCATATAAGGCTCCAAATGGTGCCATTTCATTAGTTTCCTAAACGTTGTTGTTGTAGGTGAATTCCATAGTTGCCAAAAAGCTATTGTTGTAAGCGAACTCTATAAGATGCAGCTTAAAGTCCCAACTACTTGCAAAATACAACGCTTTCTAGAGGCCGCATGAAAATGCCGACTTAAAATGTGGATCTCAATTCGATATAATAGACACTAAAGCTCCATGTAATCTAATGATTTCCCTCATGTCGAGGTACCACTTAGATAGTATTTGTAACAACTCATGCCTAGGACTCAAATTAGGATTCGACACATGTTTGCCCCGACATTTAACTTTGGAGTAGTAACTTTCAATTATTTTACGTCTTTGTTAACTATCCTATTCTCAGGATTGCTCTCTTTCAGATGTAGTCTCTATTCATTCATGTACCCATCCTTCACTCGAGTGTCATATACCCACCAGTTTTGGCTTTGGTTCGTCCTCGAATAATATCTTACTATGAGATATACCGCTCTAATATCATTGGTAACAACTCTCCACATTGATATGATATTATTCACTTTGAGCATAAACTCTCATGAGGTCTTTTGGGTCGTTAAGTCCTATGATTTGATCACATGGGAAGTCGCTGTGAATAATGTAACGTTTGTTCTTGTTTAACGGTAACGTTATTGAACAATAGAGTAGTTGAATGATGGAATTTATTAAATGAGAGAATAGTATCGTACAATCAAATGTTGAAAGAAAGACAAGTATAGGAAAACTTCTCTCTAACTTTATTCCACAAATCGAGAATCAAGAAGAAAATAAATTAATAAGACAAACACGATGTATAATTGAGTTAGTCGAAATTGAAGGATGACAAGCAAACTTAGTGAGACAGTTTCGTAATCTATCGCTATTTTTTAAAAATATATATTCCAAAATTCTTTGACCATATACTCTAAGCTAAAATAGTGACGATTCGAAGCATATTTCATGAATCTTAATCAATTCCAAACGATAATGTGACATGAACATCAACGTTTTAGAATTCATCGACTCACATATTAATATTATTCTTATTCCCATTTCCATTACACTTTAAATTCCCATTTTATCTCGAATCCCTTTATTTATTTATTTATTTATTTACCCCAAAAACACAAAAATTGAAAATTTTAATTATTCAATTATTGAGTATGATGAGACGGAGCGTGAGAAGTGGAGCAGGTGGGGCAGCCGGAGTAAATCAGTTGCTCCACCGGCGAGGAGTCCCGGAGACAGTTTGAATTGACCGATTCGTGACCCGCTGCCCAATGGTAAATCAGACGGTCAAACGACTCCAAGTCAACCAGCTGGAAATTCCCACATATTTTCCTTAATTTTTTTTTCTTTTTTATTTTTAAATTATAATTGTTAATTATTTATTTTTTGTTCAATGACGGTGCATTGAACCTGTGCCATTTTCCGTTAACAATCCTTTAATTCTCTACAAATTTTAAAACAATTAATGAAAAATATTATATTGTTTCGATATGTAATTTAATTTAACTTTGAATATATTTGGTAATATATTTATAATGAATATTAAGTTAAAATTTTAAATATTATTATTTAAATGAAGGTTTTATGTTATAAATTTGATGTAATCAAAAATTAAAATAAACTTATAATATGAAATATTATATCATCAAAGTTTTTATTTTTTTAAATACAAGATTTAAAATTGAAATACATCGATAAAAATATAAAAATATTATTTTCAAAATTTTAATTGTTTTTAAATTCGAATTTAAAAATAATTTTTAAAAATATTGTATACAAATGCAAAATTTTTTAATTTTTTTTTAAAATATTTATAAAAAGGCAATTTAACATGACATATTTTGTGATACCCGAGTAACGTGTCACTTATAAACCCATGATCAACCTCTTAATTAGCCGATGTGGGACTCCTCTTTCAACAACCCTCAACAATCCTCCCCTCGAACAAGCTATATCATAAAGCCTCTCCTTAGGCCTATGGAGCTTTGGCACGTTCTCCCCTTAATCGAGGCTCAACTTTTTCTCTAGAGCCCAAACAAAATACAACATTTGTTCAACACTTTAGTCACATTTTATTATACTTTTGAGGCCCACAACTTGTTTGTTCGATATTTGAGGATTCCATTGAGATGATTAAGTTAAACAATGACTTTGATACCATGTTAGGAATCACGGATCTCACAATGATATGATATTTCATGCACGTTGAATGCCATAGGATCAATGATTACTTCTCCAATATGTTAGGTACGAACGCATACACCACAATATTACTTCCGTTTCTTTCCTTTCTATTGGTTTTTGGTAGAGTGAGAGTGTGCTAGCCCATAGTTAGGCTTATGAGGTATGTTAACAAGCTCGCCTAGTGGGTTCACATGTTCGAAAAAGCTAACCCATAATTAGGGTCAGGGAGTACGTTAACAAGCCTGCTTAGTGGGTCCACGTGTTCGAAAAAGGCAAGTAGAATCCAAAGACCAGTCATGAATTTATGTCTTTTCAGTCATATTACATGTTGCATGTGCATGCATTTTTCGATCCCCACTTATTGAGTTAAAATACTCATCATTTTCATTGATGACTTCTGCTGTGGAGACTTTATGATAGTACATTAATATTATTCCGTTCTTTGATTTTACATTTGAAGGCATTGAAAACTCATTCACAAAGTACCTAACGAGCTTGTAGAGTAAAATGACAGACGTTTTCTTAAAAGTTTTCACGTTTCAAAAATATTTTCACTATAATCTTTTAAAACGTCTTTCACTTAAGAAAAAAGGTACAGTTGTTGCATCATATGTCTCAAAGTCATTCACGAAATAATTTCGTGACAAATAAATTTAAAAGCGTAAAAATTCCGAATACACATTTTAAAAACAAAATAAAGTATTTATTAAAAAAAAATAGAGAGATGGAAAATTAGGAAGGGTAATAATATACCAACTTTATAATAAGGATTAATAATAATAATAATAAAGAAAGGATAGGGGGACAACACCCATGGGGTAGCAACACATCACATCAAATGTAGGCCTTAAAAAAAAAAAAAAGAGATGCGCGAAGCAGAGGATAACTCCCCCCCGCCCCTCCCCTTCCCCCCTCCCCTCGAAGCAACGCAACTAAAGAGAGAGAGAGAGAAAAAAAAAAAAGGCATCTTTTTTTAGCCATCGTGAGAGCGAGTGACACGCGGTGTTGCAGCATTGGGTCCCACCATTTTGCTTCCTCTGTGCTTTGGTGTGTATGTCTATATTGTACTCTCTTTCTCTCTCTTCATCCATTGATGGATGGTAAGAAAAATATTGGAATGGGAAGTACTCTCACTCATTAAAAGTTAAATTACGAGTTTATCCCTAATTAAACAGGGTTCGTAAACTATCAAATTTGTTTCTATTTAAGTGGTAAGTATTCGAACCTTCAACTTTTTGGTTAGCCAAATTTGTATTTGTTTGGTGTATGTATTTTTGATTTTGTGTCTAAACTTTATGTTTTAGAGACACGGATTTTGCAAAGTTTTTTAGGCGGGAGGTTTGATTTTAGTACTTAGGGTGATTTTGAAGTTTTGATCGTAGTTTTGACTGAGATCAATACAGAGGTTGAAGCTTTGGGAGTTGAGGGAGGAAATTAGTAATTAGTATAGGAAAAAAGGAAGAAAAATAAAGTGGTGGAAGGCTAAAAATAATGCACACCAAATTTTGTTTATTTTCTTATTCTTTTCGTTTTTGTTCTCTCTCTTCTTTTGCCAATCTCCAATGGGTGTTGTTGTTTCTCTTGCAATTACCAAACCTTTACCATCACTACTCCCACTCCCCAACGCCCAATACGAATCAAAATCCTCCTCACTTTCCACATCTCTCCGACGGATTGCCGGCCGGTGATCTCTCTTGACTCTACTCGGTATTCAATTTTTCTCTTCTTCGTTTTCGCTTTCTTTCTGATTTCTCGCTATTTGGGTGTCTAAATCTTAGTGTTTCTGAGGTGGGTTCTTGAGTTTTGGGGCTTTCAAGCTCTTGAACTTGTTGGGTTCTTATGATTTGGTGCGAATTCTTGTTATGGGTTTGTGGGTTTCTCTTAATTGGAATTGTGGATGCGTCGGTTTCTTGTTTCTGGACTTTAGGGGTTGGAGTTGGAATGAAGCTGATTAGAACACGTTAAGAATTACTTCTTTGGGTTTAGGGGTTTTTCAGCTTTGATCTGTTTCTTGGATTTGGTTAGCGTTTTGTGCTTAGTTGAGTAATTGGATCTTCTGAGTTTCTTGAACTTCTTGAGAAATGGAGGCTGGATATGGAGGCGAAGCTTGTCAATTGTATGGTATGAGTAGCATGGACTTGAGGGCTGCTGTTGGTAAGCGGAGTTTGGAATGGAATTTGAATGATTGGAAATGGGATGGAGATCTCTTCATTGCTACGCCATTAAACACTGTGGAATCTGATCATTTGAACAGGCAGCTATTTCCAATTGTCTCTGGGATTCCCTTGACAACAGGGGGCTCTTCGAACAGTTCTTCGTCTTGCTCTGATGAAGCTAATATGGGGATTGAGAAAGGGAAAAGGGAAGTGGAGAAACGGAGGAGGATTAATGGTATAGAAGATGAGAATCTTAATGATGAAGCGCGTAGTTTGAGTTTGAAGATTGGTGGAAATGTTTCTCAGATTGTTGAGAGAGATGCTGGGAGTTGGGAAGGGAGTAGTGGGAAGAAGAGTAAGTTGGGTGGGGGAGCTTCAAATCGTGCTGTTTGTCAAGTAGAAGACTGTGGAGCTGATCTGAGCAATGAAAAAGAGTATCATAGACGACATAAAGTTTGTGAAACGCATTCTAAGGCAAGCAATGCGCTTGTTGCTAATGTTATGCAGCGGTTCTGTCAACAATGTAGCAGGTGAGCTTTCTTTTATGAACTTGTATCATAAATTCATTCTATCTATGTCATTTAGTCGTGCCATGGTTAGGAATTACTATCGTTGTGTAAGACTCATGCCCACCGCTAGCAAATATTGTGTAACGGCTCAAGCCCACCGCTAATGGATATTGTCCTCTTTGAGCTTTCTCTCAAGGTTTTTAAAATGTGTCTACTAGTGAGAGGTTTCCACACCCTTATAAAGGGTGTTTCGTTCTCCTCTCCGACCGATGTGGGATATCACATATTGTCCTCTTTGGGCTTTCCCTTTCAGGTTTCCTCTCAAGGTTCTTAAAACGTGTCTGTTAGGGAGAGGTTTTTATACCCTTATAAGGGGTGTTTCGTTCTACTCCCCAACCGATGTGGGATATCACATATTTTTGGGCTTTCCCTCTCAGGCTTCCTCTCAAGGTTTTTAAAACGTATCTGTTAGGGACAGGTTTTCACACCCTTATAAAGGGTGTTTTGTTCTCCTCCACAACCGATTGAGATCTCACAATCCACCCCCTTTGGAGTCCAGTGTTTTTGTTGGCATACCGTCTAGTGTGCACTCCCCTTCAGGGCTTATCCTCCTCAATGACACATTGCTTGGGTCTTACACGTTGTTTTAGAGACTTAGGCTCCATAGTTTATTCCTATGCTTGCAGTTTCTTAGCTTGATTCTTTGAAGTTTCTGGCATGTCTGGTTCTTATATTAATATTTGGAATCTGTTGGCAGGTTCCATGTTCTTCAAGAGTTTGATGAAGGGAAAAGAAGTTGCCGCAGGCGATTGGCTGGCCACAATAAGCGCAGAAGAAAAATTAATCCGGATAATGTTGTGAATGGAAACTCTCCACCTGATGAGCAGACTAGTAGTTATTTATTGTTGACTCTATTGCGAATACTTGCAAATTTTCACTGTAAGTAACTTTTTGTCTGTTTGAGTTATGTCATGCTTGATTCTCTGCGTTCTCCTGCTTTGCTACACTTCTACATGCCCTTCCCTACTGGCCACCCAAATGAGTTTCAACTTTCTTTAAACCCTTCAGGCTCTGAATATAGAAATTTTTTACGGCCCAAGCCCACCGCAAGTAGATATTGTCTTCTTTGGGCTTCCCCTCAAGGTCTCTAAAACGCGTCTGCTGGGGAGAAGTTTCCACACCCTTATAAAGAATGTTTTGTTCTCCTCCCCAACCGATGTGGGATCTCACAATCCACCCCTTTTGGGGCCCATCGTCCTTGTTAGCACTTGTTCCCTCCTCAAATCGACGTGGGACCCCCAATCCACACCCCTTTGGAGCCCAATGTCCTTGCTGGCATACCGCCTCGTGTCCACCCTCCTTCAAGGCTCAGCTTTCCACTAACACATCGCTCGATGTCTGGCTCTGATACCATTTTTAACGTTCCAAGCCCACCGCTAGTAGATATCATTCTCTTTTGGCTTTCCCTCAAGATTTTTAAAACGCGTATGCTAGGGAGAGGTTTCCACACCCTTATAAAGAATGTTTCGTTCTCAGTGTGGGATCTCACAACCACAGTCCTTGCCTTCTTAGATTATGTTTGATAAAGCAAATAAATAAAAGAAGAACAACGCCTGCACCTAGTTGGAAAACGAGCTAATTAAATTTGCAGAAAGATAAGCAGCCAAGTTGAAAAATTACATGTAACATCCATTTTCATATTCAAATTGGTACTTTAGGATGTTTCTTACTAGTTCATTTGGCATTATGATCTCATGAACTGACTTAGACAATTCAGATAATCATCATTAGATGATTCTCCCTCCTTTGGATTCTTAGATGTATTCTTATTACTTAGTAATGCCTGGAAGTCTTGTTGTCCTTAGCATATTATTATGTGATTGACCTTGTGTTATTTGGTGTAGCCAATGGATCAAATCAGACCACAGATCAGGATCTTCTTTCTCATCTTATACGAACCCTTGCCTGCCAATCTAGTGAACACGGGGGAAAGAACCTAACTGGCATTCTGCATGAACCTCAGAAATTGCTGAACAATGGGGCATTGATTGGTAAATCAGATCTAGTTTCTACTTTTCTCTCAAACGGTCCACCGGTACCGTTGAGGTCGTCTAAACAACACGACACGATACCTATATCTGAAGCACCAGTACAAGCCATTGGTAGGGGTGGAGATACACCAGCTGTATCTTGTATTAAACCAAGCACCTCAAACAGCCCTCCTGCATATTCAGAAATCAGGGACAGTCAAGTTGGCCAATGCAAAATGATGAACTTTGATCTAAATGATGCTTATGTTGACTCAGACGATGGCATGGAAGACATTGAGAGACAAGCACTCCCAGTGCACATGGGAACAAGTTCTCTTGAATGTCCTTCTTGGGTGCAACAAGACTCTCATCAGTCAAGCCCCCCTCAAACTAGTGGAAATTCAGATTCAGCATCTGCCCAGTCACCTTCTAGCTCTGCTGGAGAAGCTCAGGTAATGTTATCCAAAAGTTTCAGGCCATTTCTTATTACCTTCTCCCTTTCCTGTCTCAACAATTTTGAATAGTGGACATATAAGTAAGCAGTTAAAGCTGTCTTTGAAGGAGGATTCCTCCTTTGATCTGTCTGTGTTGTGAATTACTGTATCTTATCTGTCAACTTACTGGTGCTGATGTTGATAAATATGCTTTTAATTGCTATATAATCAAATTTTGTGGAAATATGATCAGCGCCAGTCGGAGCATTATGGTGTTGTTAATTAAGAAAAAAAACAGTGAAATTCCAACAACTTCTGCTTGCCATTCAGAAAGAAAGATGGAAATTGTAACGGCCTAAGCTCACCGCTAACATATATTGTCCTCTTTGGGCTTTCTCTTTCAGGCTTCCCCTCAAGGTTTTTAAAACGCGTCTGCTAGGGAGAGGTTTCCACATCCTTATAAAGAAGGATTTGTTCTCCTCCCCAACTGAAGTGGGATCTTACAATCCATCCCCTTTTGGGGTCCAGCGTCCTCGTTGGCACTTGTTCCCTTCTCTAATCGATGTGGGATCCCCCAATCCACCTCCCTTCTGGGCCCAACGTCCTTGTTGGCACATCACCCGATGTTTGACTCTGATACCATTTGTAACAGCCTAAGCCTACCGCTAACCGATATTGTACTCTTTGGCCTTTCCCTTTCAAGCTTACCCTCAAGGTTTTTAAAACGTGTCTATTAGGGAGAGGTTTCTACATCCTTATAAATAATGCTTCGTTCTCCTCCACAACGGATGTGGACGTTGTGGGATCCCACAGAAACAATGCGGTTACTTCCGTCTGTCTTCAATAATTAATCAAACTCTTGTTTCTTGCGGTATAATGACCTTCTTTCCATTGGATCATACATTTGTCTTGTGAGAATAGATGAGATGAGCTTACCTCCACTCATGAATGTATATATATATATTGACTTGATTTTGTAACTCAGTCTTAAGTACATATTATCTCTTCAATCAGCTCTATAGAACTATGGGATTCATTTTTTGCATACACTTAACACATACTTTTTCATTCTTCTAGAGCCGCACAGATCGCATCATTTTGAAACTATTTGGGAAAGCACCAAATGATTTTCCTCACGTTTTGCGAGCTCAGGTATGTAAAACATTGCAACCAAGCATTTGAAACAGTTCAAGATCTCCCTCCTTAATCTTTGTAAACTTTTCCATTAGGTTCTAGATTGGTTATCACACAGTCCTACAGAGATTGAGAGCTATATCAGACCTGGTTGTGTTGTTCTAACCGTATACACACGACAGACTGAGGCTGCTTGGGACGATGTAAGCTTTTATGTTCTCATCTGATCTATCATTTATGAGATGCCTTCCTAGATCCATCATGTCCCTTTTCTCAATGGCTTTTTCTTTCTCTCTTGACTTCAGCTTTGTCACGACCTCAGTACCAGTTTTAATAGCCTTCTCGATGTTTCGGACGACGCTTTCTGGAGAACTGGATGGGTTTACGTTCGAGTTCAGCATCAAATAGCTTTCGTTTATCAAGGTCGGGTCGTGGTTGACACATCCTTGCCTCTTAGAAACAAGAATTACTGTAGAATCACAAGTGTGAACCCAGTGGCTGTTTCTACGTCTAAGAAGGCTATATTTTCAGTTAAAGGAAGAAACTTGACACAACCTACAACTAGGTAACATCATCTTTGTCTATGTTCTTCTTTGACCCTTTACTTCTATTTGTCTCATATTTGTAAATACTAAACCCCATTTCCAGGTTACTCTGTGCAATTGAAGGGAAATATCTGACTCAGGAAGCTTCTGATGAGCCAACTGAACGTGACGATAACTTGAACGCGCAAGATGACAGTCGATGTGTTACCTTTTCCTGCTCTATTCCTGTCGTCTATGGAAGGGGATTCATCGAGGTGCAGTGTTTTTTTTTCCTTCATATTCTTCTTAAACGTTCATATGATGGTTTCCATTTATAATTTGATTTGAAATATCCAGGTTGAAGATGATGGATTTAGCAGCAGCTTCTTTCCTTTTATAGTTGCAGAGGAGGATATTTGTTCTGAGATTTGCACACTTCAGAGTGCATTAGAATTGACGGAAACATGTTCGAATTCCGGGGAAACGGAAGAACTGGAAGGAAGGAGTAATGCAATGGAGTTCATTCATGAAATTGGTTGGCTGTTTCATAGGAATCAATTGAAGTCTAGATTAGGTGACTTGGATCCTAATGAAAATCTCTTTTCACTGCCACGGTTCAAGTGGCTTATGGAGTTCTCCATGGACCATGATTGGTGTGCTGTGGTTAAAAAGCTGTTGGATGTTCTTCTTGATGGGACCGTGGATGCTGGAGGACACTCATCCTTGAATCTTGCATTGATGGATATGAGTCTACTTCACCGAGCAGTGAGAAAAAACAGTAGATCACTGGTTGAGCTCCTTTTGGTATATCCCTCAAAAGTGAAGGATACATCACGTGCTGATAGCTTCCTGTTTAGACCGAATGTCGTAGGTCCGGCCGGGTTGACCCCTCTTCACATTGCAGCTGGTAAAGATGACTCCGAGGACGTTCTCGATGCATTAACTAACGACCCCGGAATGGTAAGGATTGACAGTGTGCTTTCTGATATATGGTTGCATCAGTCATGTCATGTCACTTTATTGTTCATTTTTAGGTGGGAGTTGAGGCTTGGAAGAGCGCTCGAGACAGCACGGGGTCAACACCGGAGGATTATGCGCGTTTACGTGGGCATTACTCGTATATTCGGCTTGTGCAGAGGAAAATAAACAAGAGATCTGCAGCTGAGCATGTAGTGGTGGAGATTCCTCCTAGTAGTGTATCAGATGGTAGGTGGAATGAGAAGCAGAACACTGATATGAGCTCATCCAGGTTTGAGATTGGTAGGACAGAAGTAAAACATTGCAGGCAGTGTGTGAGAAAACCGGTGCGTTGTGGAACATCATCGAGCGCGTCTCTGGTGTACAGACCGGCGATGCTTTCGATGGTGGCGATTGCTGCTGTGTGTGTGTGTGTGGCACTCCTATTCAAAAGCTCGCCCGAGGTTCTGTACGTGTTCCGACCGTTCCGATGGGAACTGTTAGATTATGGTACTAGTTAGTTAGAGGGCATGTATGAAGTAATAATAATGTATGTACGTGACTGACTAAATTATAGGTAATGTATTTGTATGGAGCTATGAAGTTGATATTGAGTAGAGAACCTGTAATGAGTTCCAGATTGATGATATGATACTCTCTCTATTCAGTTATCAAAATTTGCTATGCTTTTAGTTCCCAGAAACTACAGGTAGAGTGTGTGTGTTTGTTCACCCGACAACCATCGCTGGGTGGTCGACTCAACTCGACTCGAACCCAAACCGAGGAGTTTTCAAAAGGTTTTCATCGTAACAATTCTCATTTTGTAGCTTGTTTTTCTGTATATATGTGTCCTATGTTACGTTCTCATTTAGTTAATATAATGTTAAAAACAAATTCTACGTCGAAGTTATAATTAAAAATATATATTTTTTTTTTTGTTGTATCAACTTAATACTCCTGTCTCTGTGTAAAATTATTATGAAAATTAAAAATATTTGACTAGTGAATATATGATATAGGGTCGATAAATAAGAATTTTAAACAAACCAACTCAACCGAAATAATTAAAATTTTACAAATTTATTATAAGTCCGAACTTCATTTACACATTTTAAAAACATTTGAGTAAATTTATGGTGACCAATAATTCAATTCAAACTCATAGAAATTCCAAACATATACTTGATTGGGAAATAAAAATAAGGAATTTGTTTTAGGATAACTCATATGGAAATTCACCCAAATGAGGTAAAATTCAAATTCAAATTTAAATTCTCTTACATCCCATTGATGACTATTTTGACCTTACATAATATTTTTTTTTAAAATCAATTACTAATTCTTCTTCTTTTAGTACAAGAAAGAAAATGGGTATTTCACATACCAAAAAGATATTATAACCATCTTATATTAACTAGATTATACATTTATGGTTAAATTAAAGTGGATGCACCGTCGAGATTGTCGATGTAATAGCCTAAGCGCTTTGATTCTTTATGTATCATGTTTTAAAATGCGTCTACAGTTGAGATTTATGCCATAAAACCTCGTAATTAATTATTTAGTTTTTAACAATAATTTATATTATTTTATTTGTAATTTAATTGTTATCTATGGTATCAAAATCTAAAGTTATTAATGTAATCTTCAACCGTATGTGGTTAACATACAAGAGGATCGTGTTCAAGTAATAACCTAAAAAGTCTATAGTATATGGATAAATACAACCCACTTTGTAATCGTTACAAATGATTTGATCCAAATCAAGACATGTAAGTGGGGTATTCTATCCAATGAGTTTGTATGAGACTGGACCAAGAAATATTTAATCTCTCTTTATAAATCCGTTAATTGAGAAGATTAATATTTCACATGATGATCATATGCAACTCGATCTTAATTCTGAGCAAGTTATGTCCATCGATATAATCATTACAAGCAAGTCGATTCTTCACGAGTTGTTCATAATTACAACTGGGTCAAAAGTTCGTTTTACCCCTGTAATTACATCTTTCACCTTAAGTACCACCGATTCTCTAATGAACAATTTGTCTATGATCCAATCATAAACCAAGTTCCTCTCGGGCCAATAAGAGGGTGGGACCCATTGTTCAAGTTCTGAAATGAGTACTTAAGAGAACAACTCATCTACTTTCCTTATATGGGTAGGAGTGAATGAACTCTTCATCTACTAGAGAGAGATTTTCACACTCTTATAAAGAATGTGTTCCACTTTTCAACTGATGTGGGGCCTGACGAGCTGACGACAGCCATGCACCACCTGTGTCCGCGTTCTCGAAGACAGCCCTCTCCCCTAGGCCTTTCATGTGGTCCCTGACCTCCTTGATCTCATCATCGATACCTAAGTTAACAGTCTCCGTTCCAAGAGGGAATCAAAATAGAATTTTTGCACCCATACTTTGTTGAATCCAAGTAAGAATTTCATGCAATTTGGAGGAAAATTTAGATGCAATCCAAAGAATAAATAAATAAAAAAGGGAAAATAATTCATCATAAAATCACTTCAATTTTGTTATTGAGACAAAAATAATTGGAATTACTCAAATTTGGATCAAATTCCATCCACTATGAGCTAACCTATTTTGACTTATTTTGTCACAACCCCTTATAAAGTAGTATGTTACATTTACATTTCCCAAAAAATATAACAAATATTCCTAGATACCGAACCCATTTTTTATTGAATTGTTTGATTTTTTTTATTACGCTGAACTGAGTTTATCATAACTCTATGTTTGGTCGGTTGAATTATTACCCAATCGCAAAATATCTTCTCGTCTTTTTCATGGATCTGGATTGGTGTTTAATTATTTCTTTGTATGGATGGGACCATTATTCATATAAATTTTAAATTAACTTTCCAAACACCAATATATATCGTAATACAATTATTTTTTTTCAAAACACAACATGTAATCATTATTAAAAACTATATCAATCTCGAAATTCTTATAATAATCCATACTCAGTATTCAAAGTCTAAATTTGAAACTTCAGCACGACATTATTAAGAGGGAAGACTATTCCTAGAGACTAAATGAGTATTTCCAACATATTTTGTCATCACTCATATGTTCTTTTAGAAGAGGGTGAATATAGAATTGTTTCAAATAAAACACATTTAACTATGGAGTTTCTGAACCATTGAAAAGGAAGGTGTACTTTCCTTAAAAAAAAAAAAAAAAAAAAAAAAAAAAAAAAAAAAAAAAAAAAAAAAAAAAAAAAAAAAAAAAAAAAA